CCGGAGCTCCGGGTGCGTCCTAAACGGCTGTGGCTGCCTGGAAGGGGCGGGGGCAGTGATTAGCCTTTCTGAGCAGTCCCTGCGAGCCTATGGTGCCTTTCCAAGTCGCGTGCTGGAGCCGCCGCTTCGGACATGAATGGGTCTGTGGCCTGCCGGGTGCGTGTGCGTGTGCGTGTGCGTGTGTGTGTGTGTGTGTGTAAGCCGACCTGACTCCCACTGTTTTGCTGACAGGTACCAGTGACCCATCCAGGACAGGTTCCCAGAGCTCTCGGCAACATGGCCTCCCCTCCCCACCAGCAGCTGCTGCATCACCACAGCACCGAGGTGAGCTGCGACTCCAGCGGGGACAGCAACAGCGTGAGGGTCAAGATCAACCCCAAGCAGCTGTCCTCCAACAGCCAGCCCAAGCACTGCAAGTACAGCATCTCTTCCAGCTGCAGCAGCTCCGGGGACTCCGGGGGGCTCCCCCGGAGAGTGGGCGGTGGGGGCCGCCTGCGCAGGCAGAGGAAGCTGCCCCAGCTTTTCGAGAGGGCTTCCAGCAGGTGGTGGGACCCCAAGTTCGACTCCGTGAACCTGGAGGAGGCCTGCCTGGAGCGCTGCTTCCCGCAGACCCAGCGCCGGTTCCGATACGCGCTTTTCTACATCGGCTTCGCCTGCCTTCTCTGGAGCATCTATTTTGCTGTCCACATGAGAGCCAAACTGATCGTCATGGTTGCCCCGGCTCTGTGCTTCCTAGCGGTATGCGTGGGCTTTTTTCTGTTTACCTTCACCAAGCTGTATGCCCGGCACTACGCCTGGACCTCGCTGGTTCTCACCCTGCTGGTGTTCACCCTAACCCTGGCTGCGCAGTTTCAGGTTTTGACGCCTCTCTCAGGACGTGTTGACAGCTCCAATCACACTGCTGCAGCCAAATCCACAGACACTTGCTTATCTCAAGTGGGGAGCTTTTCCATGTGCATTGAAGTGCTCTTTTTGCTCTACACCGTCATGCACTTACCCTTGTACTTGAGTTTGTTTCTGGGGGTGGCCTATTCGGTTCTCTTTGAGACCTTTGGCTACCATTTCCGAGATGAAGACTGCTTCCCCTGGCCTGGAGCCCGGGCCCTGCACTGGGAGCTGCTGGGCAGGGCCCTGCTGCACGTCTGCATCCACGCCATCGGGGTCCACCTCTTCATCATGTCTCAGGTGCGGTCCAGGAGCACCTTCCTCAAGGTGGGACAGTCGATCATGCATGGGAAAGACCTAGAAGTAGAGAAAGCCCTGAAAGAAAGGATGATTCATTCTGTGATGCCGAGAATCATAGCTGATGACCTCATGAGACAGGGGGACGAGGAGAGCGAGAATTCTGTCAAAAGGCATGCCACCTCCAGTCCCAAGAACAGGAAGAAAAAGTCTTCCATACAGAAAACTCCCATCGCATTCCGCCCTTTCAAGATGCAGCAGATTGAAGAAGTCAGTATTTTATTTGCAGATATCGTGGGTTTTACCAAGATGAGTGCCAACAAGTCTGCTCACGCCCTGGTGGGTCTCCTGAATGATCTGTTTGGTCGCTTTGACCGCTTGTGTGAAGAGACCAAGTGTGAGAAGATCAGCACCCTGGGAGACTGCTACTACTGCGTGGCAGGCTGTCCCGAGCCCCGGGCAGACCATGCCTACTGCTGCATCGAGATGGGGTTAGGCATGATAAAGGCCATTGAGCAGTTCTGCCAGGAGAAGAAGGAAATGGTGAACATGCGTGTTGGGGTTCACACGGGGACTGTCTTGTGTGGCATTTTGGGAATGAGGAGGTTCAAATTCGACGTGTGGTCCAATGATGTGAACTTGGCCAATCTCATGGAGCAGCTGGGAGTAGCCGGCAAAGTTCACATTTCCGAGGCCACAGCAAAATACTTAGATGACCGGTACGAAATGGAAGATGGGAAAGTTATTGAGCGCCTTGGCCAGAGTGTAGTTGCTGACCAGTTGAAAGGTACGTGCGTTTCTTGGCCTTGTCATGTCCCTGGTCCTGTTTGTATTACTTTAAAAAAAGAAAATCTCTGTCCAGCGTCAGTGTCTGGACAGACACCTCCCAGTTCTCTCCTTATACCTCCAGAAGGGCAGTCTTGGGGTCTGCGTGACTTTCTCCAGTGTGTCAGATATCACAGATCTAGTCACACTGCAGAAAGGGGCACAGTGGCAGTCCTGGCCCAGACGAGGGCTTTAGACTACCTGTCAGCTGTGGGCATTTCTGAAAATCCAGGGGCATGTCCCACCCATGGAGACCAGAGCCCTTCCACAGTCAAAACCTTTAGCACTTAGGGAAATTGTATTTACTTTGTATTTAAGTCCCACCCAAACGTTTATCTGCCTTTTAACAACTGCGTAAAGAATGAAAGCTTTCTCCTCTCTAAGCTGCACTTTGCATAATGGCAGAACTGGGAGAAGTCTGTTGGGCTCTGACTGGCAGGACACCCGAGAAGTAGATGGAATAGTGTCTCTCTGAATGCACACTGCCTTTTGCCTAGGTCTCTTTTTAGAAAACCTTTGCGTTTTCAGCTTTCATTTATGTAGTAATTACCACAGTAAGTATTTGTCTTACCACAGAGATCTCAGCATTTTAGAACCTAGAACTTCTCAAGCCACAGGCTGATTTGGAAGTGAGAAATGCATCCCCACATAAGACAACTTACATTTACCATGAGTAAAAGCCCATGTCAGAGGAGGTTCTCTGAAATTCACACCAGACAAACATGATGTATTTCTGAGTTAAAATCCAACTATACAAGGCCTTAGAAAACTGTATTCTTCCAAATAACAACCACTTATGCCTTAGAGAATATGGTTACAAGAAAATTGAATAAATATTGCTTTAACTTAGAAAGAAAGAAAGGAAGAAGGAAATGCACCCCTAGGGGTGCTTCTGTCCCCTGTTCCATGCCACTAGATTTGTACCTGGCCCTTGTCTGTGCTCATAAATTCCTTACTACAATTTTTGACAAGTTTACTGGGCTGCTTTTTATTCCATTTTTTCTCCTTATTTTTAGGACAGAAGTCTTTGAGTTTTGGGAAATAAGTAGGATCAATAATAAGGATTCTAAGTAACTGGCACCATTTCAGACCTCCTTGCCCCCCTTATCAACAGTATGTTTTACTGAAATCTTACTGAAATCTTCTGGATTGAGGGGAACATCTATTTTAGAAGTCTGTAGAGAGAATAATGTTGGTTTTTAAAAGCCGACGTTTGTAAAGCGGTATTGTATCTTGTGGTGCCCACGCACTGCATAATCACACAGTCAGGAGCCCCAGGAAAGGGAATCCTCAGAAGCAGAAGTACTAGTTTCAGGCAGAGACAGTGGTTGAGTTAGGGTTTGCATAGGTCGTTGGTCTGGAAATGATCCCGTGTGCCCAGTTGGCTTTCTCTCTGTCGGGCTCGTGATCTTATTTCCCGTGTCATTTATTTGTTCATTATCTGGAATGAGTATTATATTAATTTTGTTAATCACTGAAGAACTTATGGAAGTAGTAGAAAAATATTTTCGCTTGAGAATTTCTTTGCCCTAGAGAGAGCTTTAAATGCTACATTAAGGAGGTTGAAAATGACACTTCGCAGTTCACTTGAAAGATTCTACCATGACAAGTGTCTTTCCATTTAGGAGGATGGCACCTCACTTTAGCTCTAGTGGAGTAGGGTGGGGATGTAACCCTTATTTGAGATTTTGACATTTTTAGGACCCAAGTGTCTTCAGGGAATGTGGGAGAGGCCCCAGAGAATGGAACTGTGCTGTGTTATGCTAACAACAATGTGATAACAATTTTGCAAGTTGTACTTGGAAGCGTATTACTTGAATTTTGAAAATAAAACAGGTGTGATTAAGTACGTTTGGAAATTGTCAAGCCTTTGAATCTTCGGCAATACCTGTTTTTGTTAATTCACTGGTAATTTTATATTTAACTTATATATCAAGGGTCTCAAAGACACTAACCCCTCTCCGAAAAAAAGCAGAGTGAATTTGTTGACTTTTTAAAATCTCAAATACTGTAAATTTGGTAAATTAACTTTTTCTTTAAATTTGTGTACGTCGTGTGTTTCTAGAGGAAAGTGTGCGCTGCGTGGGAGGTAGGGAAGGATAGAGAAGAATTGGTGAGATGTTCTTTTTTTTGGGGGGGCGGGAATCGATATTCTTTCCTTTAACTGTTTCCCTGAGACCATGATTTTTCTTTCTTCATTTCATTTTGAAAACTTCTGTGGACAGACCTCCAGTAATAGAGGATGTCTGCATAACTTCCTGACCCCTTTTGAAACTGTCCTGATGTTGTGTGATGCTGCTAAATTGAGATGGTAGCGTCATTTGTAGACCTTTCCTACATGGCCAGCTGATATACAGAAGGCTGGCTTTGACTTTCTGTCTTTGGGCTTGTGGTAGACACTTTCTCTATGCAGTGCTGGATATTGCACTTTCCTCTTACCCTTTCTTCTGAAAACAGGCTTAGCAAGCACCCAGTAGGTCTGTGGAAGGAAGCATCAGTAGAATGAGCAGGGGATCCTAGAACTAGACTGGCAGCATGAAAGGAAGGTGCTCCCCTCTCATTGACCAGCACGGGCTTCTCAGAAGGCTGCTTTCATTATCTCCGGGTAGCCACTGGCTCACTCTGCAGTCTTTATTGTGCTCTTACTAAGCACCTGGCACTGCGGGCACAGCGGGATCTGAGACCGGTCCTGACCTCAGTGAGTGGCCGTTATAAATGTCAGTGCTGAGGATGTCTGAGAAGCGGGCGGTGCTTTAGGGTGATCACACACCCTTGCATTCAAGGTGGATCCAGGGATCAAGCCAAGGCTGTCAGGTGCACAGAACATTGGGTGCAGAGCAGATAGCCCGGGCAAAGGCTTGGGATTGTTTTCTGGTGGGCTGGGCGACTATGAGCAGTGCAGCAGGACAGGGAATGCTGGGGGAGCATGGGGAGGAGTTTGTCTTTGGTCCTGGAGGTGACAGGGAGCAACTGACAGGCTTTAAGGGGGGAGGCTTAGGGGTTGCGATTTGCACTTTTCGAAAGCTCACTCTTTCAGGTGTAAGAAGTGTAGGTTGGAAGGGTGTGAGGCTGGAGATGAATTGGCTGATGGAATAAATCCTGGGGAGGGGTGATGGTCTGACCCAAGGTGACAGCAGGGATGAAGGAGAGGATGGCACAGATATGAGCAGCATTACCAAGACCAGCTAGATAGGGCATTGAAGCACATTTAAACAGGTGGGCAGGGAGGGCCCTATCATTTGCATGCGAGGTGGCATCGTCAGTTTCTAGAACTGCTCTGCAGATGGTTTGGAGTCAGGAATAGGTGAGAGGCCTTTGAAGTTTCTAAGTTATGACTGGAGAGTACAGGTTCAGTTGCAGGATACAAAGACTCAGAACCCCAGCTTGGATATCATTCGTTCTACAGCTGGGCTGTGGTTCTGTGCTGGGCATAATTCTAGGTTCTGGGGATACAGCAGTGAACAAAACAGATAAATATTACTGTCCTCAAACTAGGGGCCACGAAGTTTTAATTAGTAATAGGTTGGTCTTCTAATGGGAATTTCTAATAGAGGAGTCAATAGGAGAGTCCAACAATAAGAAAGTAAACTATAAACTTTGTTTTGTATTAAATTCTAAGGGAAAAAACATCAGCAAGAAGGGGGATATGGAATATGGTGTGTGTGTGTGTGTGTGTGAATGAAGCCATGTTAGGGTGACTGAACATCGAGAGTGAAGGTTGAAGGGAGGTTCAGCACAGGGTGATTTTGGAAATGATCCAAAAAGCGAGGGGCAGTTATTAAAGGAGAAGTGGTCTGGTTCCAGGAGTTAGGAATAGGTGAGAGGCCTTTGAAGTTTGATGATGGGGAGGGGCCCTTCCATAGCATTTGTGATGAGCTACTAGGCTCAAGGGGTACCAGCTGCTCTGGTTTGTCATGGACCACAAGCAGAAAAGCTGAGGCATCCAGAGTGGCTGGGTTTTCTATCGTAAATACAGGGTCACGAAGGCAGAAAGTGAAGTGCTTAGGAAATGTCTGCAGACATCTTTTCCCTTTGAAAACAGTGGGAAGAAAGAAGCAAGATGCTCAGTCAGCTCCCAGATAACATCAGCAGTTGTGTCTTCATAGAGAGGAATACCTCTACCCGCTGCTCCACTAGATGCAGGCGTAAGAAAAGACTCTCCCCTCCACCAGTCGGAGGCTTGTGGAGCACCTGGGGGAAGGACCCACTGACGTGCTCTTGGACAGTCTGGCACCCCCGGCACCTCAGTGACAGGGGCCTTTCCTAAAAGTGGCTCCGAGAAGAGTACCTGGCTGGACCCCATCTGGGGCCACTGCTCAAACTGACGGTTTGAGACGTTCTTTATGTGTCAGCCTTTGCCAACAGCTGTCCCGGGTTAGGAGTCCAGGTTCCCTGTTTCCCCATGGGCATGCGACTGTCAGCTGACAGGTAAGACCCCTAGCTGGGTGACAGTTTGGGTGCAGTCACATGCCCGGTGCTTCCCTTCCTTCTCCTGATAGCTTGGATAGCTTGTTCTCACACAAATGGCATGCAACCTTTGCCACTGTGATGTCTGCGAGCTGGTAGCTCAGTCTCCCCTCTTGGAAGTTCCATGTTTACCTGCGTTCTTGAGTGGGCTCTCGTGTGCACTGGAACACAGCCTCTTGGATAGCAAGTGGCAGAGATCGGATGAAGCAGAAAATTTGGCTCAACAACTGGGATTGGAGATGAATAACAGCTGTGAAGTCAATGGCTAAGCAGCCCCCAGTGACAACTTCTTCAGACTCTTTGGGGCCAAATAACACAGCTTCCAGTAAGGAGCACACAGCTGTTAGTTCTGAATAGAATAAGCCTTTGGCAAAGAAAGTTAAGGATAAGGTCTGCTGAGCTGCTGGTGGAATGAAGGTAGGAAGGAAACCTTTTTATGTAGAATTACTAAGAAGAACAAAAGTGAAAAGGAGCAAGTAGAGGAAGTTAAGAAGC